CTCAGTTCTTACTTGCATGAACGGTGTGTTGACTCCAAGAGACTGATCCTGCTGCGGTGATCTGTGATCCTGCTGTCACCTGCAGCACAAGCAGGGTCAGTGCTTGTCAGATTATGTCTGAATGGGGTCATCCCTATGAACAACAGGCAAAATCAGTCCCAAGAAAAACAGCTGAAGTAACTGAATTAGAGGTTCCTTCCTGTAGACCTCCCATTCTTTTATATATATATATTAACTATATAAATATAATTAACAATTAATATATAATTAATATATTAATTTTAATATATATTGATTTGTGAGTGAATGGGTGGATCATGAAACCATGGTCCTGAGCAATGACACAGCAGAACACGAGGACAGAGGTCCTGGCTATGAGAGTCAATCTCTTACCTTACTCCATGCAGGTGCTCTGAAAACAGTAAGCTACCACAGTTGTAAATCCAAGCCTCAACCTGCCTCCCAGCTTTCGCTGTGCCTGGGATACACCGCCTTGACACTTAGCATCGTGAAGGCTGGCCAGCATGTTAAACAGCCAGGGCAGGTTCCCTCTCCTGTGTATTCTCTGCCTGCTCCTGCCCACAGGCACAGATGATGGATGTACTCGCTGTGTGATGCTAGCAGGGCTGGTGGAGCGAGGGGGCAGCTCACACACACAAATGGGACCGAAGGCCACAGACTTGATGAACTTATCCTTTTTCCTACTGCAAATGAGGAGGCAGGACATCTGGTGGTAATGATCTAAATGCGCTTTTAGCTCATCGCAGCACAAATGTGAATTCCCAAGTCACCTAACTCCATATCATGTAATTATGAAAGCAGCTATTAGTGGCAAGACAGATAAGTAGCAGAGGCCAGTCCCATATGCTTAAAATCATTCTCTGGTACAGATAATGGTGTGCAAAATCCAGTACAAACCAGCAACAGCAGCTGAACTGCTTCAAGGCAGCTCTTGGGTGGCCTTTGGGGGACAAGAACTGGGGAAGCCAGTGCAAGAAGCATCTGAATATACAGTGTGGGGACTGTTGAGGAGCTGGAAAACACCTTGTGATGTCCTGGTCCTTTTTTTTTCCATGGGAAAAGCAGAGCAGGCAGCTAGCAGTTCAACCACCTCAGGTTTGGTGTCTTTTATAAGCTGATTGATGGTGGAAGAAGATAGAGCCAGATTTAACTCCAGTGAACTAAAATTCAGCATGCCTGTATTTGAGTTCAGTGCTCTGGACACTAAACAAGCTATAGCAGAGTTGGATTTATTTGTATTGGCTTACAAACCTAATAGCTGCATGGTTAATAGTCCTGGATGACTTATAGATTTCCTACCTGTTAAGTATGTTGCTTAATTCTTTAGCATCTGCCCCCCTTTAACCCTCCCAACCCCGAATCTAATAATTGTATCTGAATGTTTGGTTCCAAATAAAAGAGAGAAAGCACAGTCAAAAAAAGCCCAAAAGTGGTAATAAATGTTCACGTGGGAAGCTGTTCCTCTACCCTCCAAACCACAACTGGAATGCAGTTAAAATATAAAGCCAAAAAAGCAGATCAAGTATTTGTTGCCTGCAGTCGTAGTGGGGTCTTTCCAAGAATGGTTCACACTGATTTATGGTCAATCCTGATTCAAATGGCAGGAGAAAACTTGCAGCATGGAATGAAGTCTGGCCATGTTTGGGGAGTGAATCATAAACCCTTTAGGGAAAGCAGGGTTGTGTGTATGTGCAGGCAGTCACTCAGTGCAAATCCAGCATTTTGCTGCGGGTTTTCTGCACATTCAAGGAATAATTTCATACAAAAAAAAAAGAACTTTGGGAAAATGTTTTGTTTAGAGAGAATATATATGATAGAATATAATTTGGAATATAATAGAGAATTTACAGGTTAGGCTCATTTTGCCTTCAGCCTGCTATATACTTGTGTATATGAAATACAATCTTAGCATTTATAAATTAAACACTTTCAGGTATAACTCCAGTTCTTTCACTGGGAAAAGATGGTTTGTAAGCTCGGTGTTAGCCTTCAGTCTGCACTTGTACATTGAAGAGGCATAACTCTGCCAAAAGAGATCTGGCTTTCTTTTAACATACCACAATTTCCCATGGGGATAAACTTAGGCTGGAATTCACGTTCCCTACACTGCTCTAGCCTTATCCTTGCCTGAAGAAGAGTAAACCAGATTATTAGAAACAGTTGTATTGCTTGAAAACGTTCTGTATTAGGATTAGGTTTGTAGTGCCCGAGTGATTCTAACATAAAGTGGTTTAATGCCCTTGCAGGAAAACATAGTGTGAAGGCTCCTTAAAACTTCTCATGATCAAACAAGGAGGTGCACAAAAATGCTGCCTTGATTTGTAGGGGAAAATGAAAGCCTTTGGAAAGGAGGGAAATGCTTTCATTAGCTGAGGTGGCTGTCTGGCAAGTGATGCAGAATAATGCCATGCATGACAGGGGGTTCTGAGGGCTGGCTTTTTAAGCAGGTAATCTGTGTAATTCTTGTTGTAGATGTGACGTTATTCTCCTGTACAAAACTGGCTGCTAAGATATTGCCTTAGAAAAAACAAATAAAGGCGATTGAATAGGTTGAACCAATGAGCCAGAATATGGAATTCTTTGTGTCTTCCACCTGAAAACTGTTTATTGGGGTGAAAGCCCAAATCCAGCGTTACAGCCTGGAATCAAAGATGGTGTTCCCTTTGAAAATATTACCCGTTCTAGTGTCCTAACCAAGAAAGGGACTAGGAAAAAGGCTTCAGGATTGAGGTCCTTTGACTCATTTCTCTTTAAAAAAGAAAGGGGGATGTAATTGGGATCTGTTTTTTTTCCTGGAGGATGCCTATTTTGAGCAGTGCTTTTCCTCACATGAACTTTCTCATCCAAAGGGTGCTGCCTCCTTTCATGTTCAACAAGACAAGACGAGAGAAATGATTGCTTCTCTTATTCCAGCAACATCCTCCCATTATCTCCCAAGGGTTAGGCACTAACTAGGGTTAGTTTCCATGTGCTCAGAAGCAGAATTTGTAGCATGGAACAAACCCAGTTTCAACATCCCACAGAAAAGGGAAACCAGGGACATGAAAGGTTGGGAGTCACTAAGGTCAGGAAAAAACACAGCAAGGCTTTAAGGAAGGGTTGTTGAACCTGCCTTTTAATGTTTTAATTATGATCTCTTCCTTGTCAAGTGTTGCAATCACCCACAGAAGGTCTCAGTTCCAGCTCTGGATGTTTTTTTTTCTCCTCTGATTGTCTTGTTTTTGTCATCATCCATGCCAAAGAAAATCCAGGCGTCAAAATTCATTGCGCAAAGGAGATGATCTGATAGCCAATACATGACTGGAGCCTCCCATGTCACAGCTTAGGTCTGTTTGTGCCTCTGTGTTTGCCTCTTTGGAGAAACCTGTTCACTCTCAGGATCAAACAGAAATCAGCTCTTTGCTGGCACTGGCACATGGTATTTGTCTGCAGCTTCAGTCAGACCTCCTCTCCTCACATGGAACTGCACTGTTAGTATTGTGCTGTCTCCCCTCTTGGGTGGGTGCAGCCTTCCCATGTTTTATTATTACTATTATTCTTATCCTTTATAAGCAAGCCATCATGACCGTTGTTTTACACTCTATGAGCAGCAGAAAGAAATGGGACAAGGACTGTTTAGATCAAGGTAAATCCTGAAATCATGGGACCTAAACCACAACAGCACTACCTTAGGGGTACTAAACCCTCAGGGTGGCTGTCCTCTGGAGGAGTGTGTGCTCTGTGGTTCCAGCATCAGAAGCGGTGTATGCTGCTGGGTGCTCTGTATTTCATTCTTTTCCTCCTCTTCAGTCCTTTGCCGTTTGTTCCACAGGACAGTGTCCAAAGGAGATGCAGTCCACAGATATGAAGGATAGGATTGGTGGTTGTTTTGGTTTTTAAAGAAGCTTTCTAAAAGGGATAGTTGAATGGGAACCAGTGAAGTTCAGCCTATCACCACTCTTGTGATATCCCTGGATTCATAAATCAGTGCTGAGTATTCAATGTTTCTTGCTCTGATGGTTCTTATCCTGGTACCTGTGATGTGTCAGGGCTTTGGAAGTCTCAGAGACCTGTCTTTTAATACAACCTGTCCAGAAATTCATCAGAAGGAAGCTGACAGCAAAGCATGTGCGTGTCCTTAGCTCAAAGTAAGAAAAGCTTAGATTAAGCTTACTTGCTGTGAGAAAGCAGCTTCAAGATTAAAAGGGAGCAGAAACGAAAAGCACTCTTAGACACCTTTTATTTTTAGGAGAGAACTTGGCTTTGAGTAACAAGTGTTGGAGAGTTCAGGACTTTTGTTAGCAAAGAAAGATTTTGTGTTTGTGTGAGTTTAATATAGCACTGCTGCTTGACAGCTATGGCTCTGCTGCATGGTGAGTCTTTTTTTGTTAGTCTCAGTAAAACGACGCTTGTCTTGAGCTTGGCTGTGATTTAAGGGTGTTCTTTTAACCTGACTGTTCATGACAAATTCCTCAGCACTTCAGCTAAAGGGCATTTGAAGCCCTGGAGGTTTCTTTCTGTCTTTATTTCTTCCCAAATCACAGGATGTCCAGACTTCGCACACAAGCCATAGTATTGGAGTGCTTCCAGCAGCCTGAGAGCTGTGCTTTACTTGGGGAAAACAAAAGGCAACATGCTGCACATAGGCATACTCATTAACAATAGGCAATACTCTGCCTTTAGAATATGAGCTTTTGACAACTGGTTGCACAATGAAATGCCACCTGCATACTCGTACCAGGATGGAGCACTTGATGCTTTTGTCCCTGCAGCTGCACCTGAAGCCGGAGTATGAGGACCGAACGCACTGTGCAGATCTCCATCTGCACTGTTTCATTCAAGTTTACATCTCACATGTCCTTTGAACGGTGTAGCTGCTCCTACCACAGAAACTCCCTTTTCATTGCCACCTTGCAGAGCAGTCATCGTAACTGCACAAACCTCTTTGGTCCAGCTTGACTTGACTCCTGATTTCTGCCGTTGTTGCTTCTGTTTTTCAGCTCGTCATGAAGTTATCACCAAAGAGATCCTCGAGCTGGATCCCTGGGAGAACCAGTGGAATGTGGTGGCCGTCAATGCCCTCATGCACGACAGCTATGACGTTTGCCTGGTGGCGCGGCTGAACCCACGGGATCTTATTCCTCCTCCCCCAGATTTACTGGACCAGTAAAGCTCAGTGACCCCAGGTTCTGCAGACACTGAAGGATTTGGAGAGGCAAGCACTGCGTTGGCTGTGGGTGACAGCCAAGTCCCTCGGAGAGGAACTGGTGACACACTTACGGACCCAGTTGCCTTTGAGCTGATGATGCCCAATTTGCTAGTTCTGGTACTCTGGACAAGTTGTAACAAGCATGAACTTGAGTGGTACGAATCAGTGACCGGTTCCTAAGGTCTTAACCACTCAGGTTGCTAAACACCGTTGTGGGCGTAAGATCAAGGGGCAAACTCTGCTTTTAAATGTCTTTAAGCATAATCAGTAGAAAGCTCTTCCAATTGACTGTCCAATATTGGAAACTCTGTTGAACTCTTCTTGTTACCGCAAGGGGAAGAGAATCTTGTTCTATTTTCTCTATGGAGCTCTCAGCTCCGGAGTTAAGTGTTTCCTTGTGAAACCACGGTTCGACTATTTTGCTTCTTTTGCTTTTAAGGAAGAATATTTTAAAAGCTTAGTTTTGTCTTTGGTCTCTGCTCTGTGGCCTGTTCCTGACAACTCAAATCCTCTTGCAGCTTAGAGACTGAGTGAATTTACTGGATTCCGCTCTCTGAAAGACAGGCTACTTGGAATAGCCCAGTGGGAAAAGGGGGGCTTTTCTAGGCTTCCATCAGTCATATTTGACCAGATACATGGAACACAGACTCCTCTATTAAATGTTTATTCCAGTAGTGTGCTGGCTGTTTCTTTCCCACTTCATAGGTTTTGCTTTTTAGACTGATCTTTAATGAGCTGGATGGAAGGAAAGGATGTATCCTGGAATGTCTGTCTTGATAACAGAGGACAGTGATTGCATATGGTTTATCCACTGGCCTTGCTTGAGCTGTGGTGAGCAGCAATAGGTTTTCATGCATCGAGCATCGCTGTTCCTGCTGCCCACAGGTTTTAATGGTTAGCAGGGAATCTGCTATGTCTGCCTCTCTGTTCCTGCCCAAGTCCAAACATGTAGCGCTATATGTCAAGCAGGGAATTGTTTTCTTCTGGGTTATATATCCAGAACAGGGGCATTAACTCCATAGTTTTGTGGGGCCCCAGTGTAGTTTGTGGGTTACCCTTGGGGTGACTACAATTTCTAAAGCAATACTTGGAAATGAAAGCTTGCCTGAGGAAGAAGCAGAGAGCATGCTTATTGAGAGGGATAGAGCTTAGCCAAAATCCTCCTGAGAGTATATGAATACTGTATGTCTGATATGTCCATGGGTAGTCTCACATTGCTGGGAAAGTCCTTAAGAGTCTTAATTTCCTCTATTACAAATCCTGATGCTAAAGAAAAACATTAGGGAATAGGCATTCTCCAAGCTTTTGAGTTCCACTGAAACAACAGTTCAGCCCCATTCTGTGTGAGCAGTAGTTAGCTGAGCGTTTAATCAAGGCAGTCTTTATGATCCATGATTCTAGTATGCAAACAGCACCCACTAGTTAACTGAATGGGGGGAATATTAAGCAAGCCTTCAGTCGATATGCTGAAGTGCATCACTAGTTGCCAAATATGAAGAAAGATGTTGGAGAGGTAGATGGCCATGCGGCACATGGGAGTAAAGCAAGAAATGAAATGCTTGCTTTTATATATTTCATCATTAAAAAAGCTAATTGAAGCTTTTCATTTTATCCCCAGCTAATGTCTTATTTCAAAGTTGTCCATGTATGACTGATTTTCATAAGGATCCCTGTAGAGCTCTCATCTCTGTTTTCATGCACGTGGTGTTAGGAAGTGCCCACGTATGTCAAGCCTCAGGTGTCTGACTACCAGCCCTCAGGTATCACTGCTGTGATTGCCTGTGGCTCAGTCCCTGCCCATGCCAGGCGCACACACACACATACAACTTATGGGGCAGTCTCTGTATCATGTTCCAGCTCTATTATGCCACTCAGCCTTGATTCACCACCAGAAAATTGCCTTGGTGCACACAGAGCTGTCACTCCAGCACTCCCAAATGTGCTCCAGGTAAGATGCTTAGAGGGAATCAAAACTGAGAGGCTGGCAATGGGGATGAGAGGAGCTCCCAGGATGCCATAGCACGCAGTAGAGGCAATGTGGGATGGAATGATCCTCCCCATCTCTTCTTGAAATGTGTGATAAGATGCTCTATTTCCTGAAAAGCAAATGCCGGAGTAGTTATTTTTACTATATATTAAAATATATTCAAGAAGATCTATATTGTTTTTCTGCTGATCTGGATGACAACGACATTCTTTTAATAAGCTGTTTATCGAGTGATTGCTGTCTTAGCTGCAGTGATGGTCTGTTCCCAGGCTGCCCTCCTCATGGATTATGTAGCTCCTGTGAAGATGGGTTTCATGAATCACAATGCTTTGAATCACCAGGGCAGGACTGCAGTTACTCCTCTGCAAATTTCTGTGGCTCTCCCTCCAGCTTCTGAGTGGACTCCAGCTTCGGCTTCAAAGCAAAGCTTTTTCACCCCCAGTTGTGCTCAGCTGGAATCAGTCCGTTTGCAATTTCCCATCATTTGATGTGCTGAGGTTGAAAGCAAAGGAAATACTGGAAAATGGGTAAAATATACATGGAATGATTTACTAATGACCTTTGATTGCAGCCACAGTGAAGGCCAGGCCAGAGCGGAGAGAAGCAGCATGGAGCAGAGCTGTGGCTCCAGACAGCCTGGCCTGCCCCAGCAAGGAAACGACCTTCAAATGAGATGCATGTGAGTGTTCCAGGATGTGTGCTCTGTGTGTTCTATATGCATGTGTATAGCATCATTTTTAGAAGTTCTTCACTGACAGCAATAAAAGGGTTTCTTTAACACATACCTGGTAACTCTGTCTTCTGCATAACTCATTGAAGTACTTCAAAACGTGGTGGTCTTTAAATATATGGAACTATTCCAAGCCTCAAGTCAAAAAGAACCTTAAATTCCTTGCTGTGCTAAGGAAGAACTGGGGAAATATTCTAGTTCTCACCTATGTCTCCTTCCTCCTCCAACTTTCTGCTAGTTGCAGTGACTCCCTTAGAAGCTCAAAGTCCTCTTGGAAGCTTTGTGCAAGCCTTTCTGTTTCTCTTCCCCTAACCCTGTTTCTGACCTGCCCTTAAACTTCTTTTTCCTCTTCGTTTCCCCAGCAGATGGGAGCAGCAACTCTGTCCTCACCAGGCTCCAGACTTCAGAAACCTATGGTACCAGCAACAAATCAGCTTCGAAGGACAGACCATACCAGCTCCCTGGATCCGAGGGCATCTTTGAGCAGGTTCTACCCTCAGCCCAAGTTCTGTGGTTGTCTCCTTGCAAACAAAACCTTCCTGGTCCTCTGGCTACAATAGGCATCGGAAGGCAGGTGGGCTGCATTCTGCTTGGTCCTGCTGCTGTCTTGCTGTGTGATGCTGGTGAGTTTGGCATGAAATGCCTCATATACTGTGTGTGCCACAGCCGTAAGGATTGCAGCACAAGCCGTCAGCATTATCTCTAATTCCTGAACACCAGCTGCTACGAAAGCTGTCTGAAGCACAGAGGAAGGCGTCTTCGTTATTGCATTATAACTCACGTCTTGAAGCCGGATTTTCTCCTGCAGTCAGGCCAGAACCTGCTCTCTAATTTATCAGGTTTTAGGTTTGGTAATCTTTATCCACTTCGTCCTTTTCTAGTCATTCTTTATACGAGTGCAAGTGACTCCACAGGCTTGTCTAGAGATGCATCATCCCAACTGGCCTCCCAAGGCTGCTGCCTTTTCATTACCAAGGTTGAAGTACAGCTCCTAAAGCGCCAGTCAGCTGCGCTGCTTTATTTCTCTCATTCAGCAACTTCATAGTAGAGGAAATATATTTTATCCATACATGCAGTAATGTGAGAGGAAACCACTTCCCACATACACAAATTCCTGACTCATTCCTTTCAAATGTGGCTGAAACAACTGCTGAATCCAACATAAAAAGCAATGATACTCATTCAATAGGCTTTTCCAGCTTTCCAGTAGGAGGAGGAGGATCACAGAGAGATGTCTTGTAGCAAGAATACAGACTGGATTGGAATCACCGGGCAATGGGGATTATTTCCAGTTCCATTACTCTGATTGTTAGCCTTGGGCATCTGATCTCTGCACCTAGGTTTACCCATGTAAAATAGTCATAATAATCCATCTTGCTCATGTTGTTGGTCGGACCCTGCTGTGGTTTTAGAGGGGGTGGCTCACAGATGCCTGCAGTGTCATGTTGAGTATTATAAGGTATTATAGAGTGGAAAAATAGTAACATCGCACTGCTGTCACCCCCCTGATTTTTGGTAACATGGATGTCCAGAGACTGAGCCTTCCAGAAACTGGGGGAGGTTGGATGTTTGCACCTAGTAAGGATAGTCTGTTTGCTCCCTCATAGAAAAGCAACAGCAGGTATCTAATTGTGTAATAGGTTCAGCAGCGGCAGCAGAAGCGCTGGGCTATTGCATGTGCCTTCCTAGCTCGTCACACCTCTACGCAGGCAGAATTAATCTCAGCAAATTGAGAGGTCACTGATTGAGGCTGAATTTGAGCAGCAGTAATTAGGAGAAGGAGTGAACTGTGTATTTCTCAGAGCAGATTTGATTTAATACATTACGCTGCTTGGACGGCTGCAGTTGTGGCGAAGGGAAAGAAGAGAAGGTGCTTTACAGAAGTGTAGTAGGTTTACTGGGTAACTGAGAGCTAAATTTAGATGATCTATCACAGCTTTGACGGGGAAGCTTCAACCCCCGGGGATTGCCATCACGACTCTGTAGGCATTCAACCAGCCACTAAAGGCACTGTTGCATCCAAGCCATCCCCTACAGAATATGCATAAGTGGGTTTTAGGATCTTGTTCAAGTGTAAACAATGTGGCATCTACTCGCTGAGTTATTGAACTGATCCTAGGGATTATGTTCCCTTCCCCACCAGCGTGCATGAGTAAATAATCTGAGTTGAACTGACAAGCAATGTATTGTACTTCCTGACAGGTAATTTATAATGCATAAGGCCTGAGATTCCAAAACCCATTGGTAGGGCAAGTTTTGCAGGGTAGAGAATGTTTGTTACTAAGCTGTGAGTGTGCTGGCATTTCCCTGCAGTTAAAAAAAACCAACGAAACAACAAAGTGAATGCATATGGAGCAGCCACAGCTTCTCTGGGCAACCTGTGCCAGCTCCTCAGCACCCTCACAGCAAAGAATTTCTTTCTATCTAATAAGGTGTGTGCTGATAGCAAAGCTACGGCCATGCTGCAGTTGTGAGATGTGATTTTAAGCTGAATGGATGTACCCAAGCCGGATCTCATGATTAGCAGAGAAGATTCAATAGTCCAGGTGTCAGCTGCCCTAAGCAATTCAGTGTGAGCTCTGGCTGGCTTGGACAGCCCATGCTGAAGCCCAAGCTGTTGCATGCTCACTGCTCTCATTAATGATCAGTCTCC